TATATATATATATATATATATATATGATGAGGTTTTTGATAACACTCCACTTGGCAAGTGGACCAAGTTTCGTTATAGAAATACAGTATCGTCCTCAGGAATTTGGGAGATTAGTAATTCTTACTCTAATGATTAATAAAGAGACGTTGATATAATTTGGAGTGAAATAATGTGAGGTAAAATTTAAGCGAAAGTGTAAAAGTTATAAGAACAACTTGGCAAACGGGCCAAGTTTCGTTGTAGAAATACAGTATCGTCCTCAGGAATTTGGGAGATTAGTAATTCTTACTCTAATGATTAATAACGAGACGTTGATATAATTTGGAGTGAAATAATGTGAGGTAAAATTTAAGCGAAAGTGTAAAAGTTATAAGAACAATTATATGAAACAAAGTTTGAACCCTAGAGCACTTGCTAACCCTTAAATTTCCTTAAAATAAATATGATTTCAATTTCATGACTTACACGTTCAGTTAGTAATTAAACAAGATTCCTCAAAGTTGAATCCTAAAGTAATTAATCTAAAACATGATTCCTCTATGTTTTGAGATTAACACTTTGCATTAATAACAATGACTTGAACAACAGTGACTAATCATATCAAGTTTATCCCTAGAACAAGAGATGATTAGGTGCAAGATTCAGTTCAAGTTTTCAAAAACGTTTTCCAACAGGATTCAAAAACCAAAAATTCATACAACGGGTGATCAAGCCGATATAAGCATTAAAAGTATAATCAAGCACAAGTAATGAGGATGAAATGCATATATAGATTTAAGAAATAGAAGAGTTAGTAGTTACACCAAGATCAATCCTCAAAAGGTTTAGCCCTTCATGGCCATTTACAAGATCAAAAGAGTAGAAGAAGAAATTACAAAGGAAGAGATGAAGAAAATGAGTTGATCCTCATTCCCAAGTGATCCAACCTCCAAATCTTCGTTCCCACTCTGTTCTTCCCCCTTCGTGTGTGCTCCTGATCTTATTTTTGCTCTTTTTTTTCGTCCTCTTCTTTTCTCCCTTCAATCCCCCTTTTATATTCGCTTCAGACAGGGGAGAAAACATGATTTTAATCCCACTGCTGCAGTTGTAGTTTCACGACTATAACTGTGGAGAGTTCTTCAAGATGAAGTAAGTTTCACCACTACAGCTGTGGTTTCACAGTCTTAGCTATGGAAACTCCTTCAAGCTTAACAGCTATGGTTGTGACTCTCTGGTGCTTTCTCTTGATCCTTAGTGCTCCATGGCTCTAGCTATGAGCCCACAACTTTAGCTTCAAGTCTTTGCATCCATAAATTTGCATTCCAGATTTCCACAGCTATAGCTGCAGAACCACAGCTATAGCTACAATTTTCTGACCTTCTGATTTCTCCCCAGATTTCCACAGCTATAGCTCCAGAATCACAGTTATGGCTGTGGAACTCTGTCTTTTCAAATTTTCTGCAAAAAAGGAGGGAAATCATTAAAAAATTTCTACTACTCTTCTATCTATTTAATATAACTTGATTATTCCCATATATATATATATATATATATATATATATACATATATATATATCAAACCAATTCTTACTTCCCTTCTTGATAATGAAAAATAAAGACAAATTTTCATGGTTATTTAATTTATTTATTTTTAATATTTCTATTTTTTATACACATAAATTAATTATGTAAATTTTATTATTAAATTTTTATATGTTAAAATATTATTTATTTTGTTTAATTAAATTAATATTTAATTATAATCATTACATTTATTTTTTAACTTTTCAAAATTTGAAGTTTAAATAATATATTTTTTAAAATATGGGTTATTTATAAAACCCCACCATTGAAACAAAATTTGTAAAAATTGTGAAATGAGTTGCTTAAAAATAATATAATATAATGGACTCTATTTTAAATAAAATAAGAATCTTAAAATTACTTATAAGAACTATTATTGAAGATATTCTTTATACCACATAAGTGCAACAACACTACTATACTACACCATCAATCTTACATTACAGTAGTTTTTTAATGTTATTATATTATAATATTAATATATTTTATAATATTTATTTTATTAATTTTCCCACACTCACTTACTGGTTACTATATGATTCATATTTAGACGCACACTTTGACCATTGACCTCATCACTTTCTAGCTAGTTTCAAAGTCATGTTTATTTTGTCTTAGTCCAATCATTAAACTAAATACTAAAAATTTTCTAACATTTATTTTCACTTAATACATTATTTTCATGTTGACATTCAAGTTGAGAAAAAAAAATATGAAAACTACTTAGATAATAATTGTTGATTGGTTTAGATAAAACTTGATAATTAACGTACTAGTTTAGTTATGTTTGAGTGACTAGTTTAGTTTTAAATGTTAGAATACTTTAATTTCAAATGTTAAATAATGTTTTACTACTTTAATTTCATATTTTCTAAGTTACTTTTTTATTCACACTTGAATGTTACTTCCACTCTTTTAGAAATAGATTTTTATTTAATTTTTTGGATAAAATAATGTATTTTTTATGTTAAAAATAAATATCTACTATTTTTTTTTTTCAAGAAAACCACTTAAACCAAGTCAAACCAATTCATAATCAATTAATTTAGTGTGGTTTGGATCACAATTTTTTTTTAAAAAAAATATCTAACTGAACTAATCAAAATTGATTGTTTTGAACTTTAGGTTTTCTCAAATCCGAATCAAATTGGTCCATAAATACGCTAACATTATCTAGATATTAATAAGGAAAATACTAAATGTTCACCTATTTTGAATGGATTGAAATAAAATGAACATAAATATATAGGAAAAAAATAGAAAAAAGTAATAAATGTGATATGTAATTTGATGAAAAACAAAAAGAAATGAGTAATCAAATGAGATTGAGGTGTAAACGCGGTCCTTAGAAGATAAAATTAGTATATACATACTCTATAATCACCATAACTCATTAATTAAAACAGGTTACTGCTTATTCTTATTATTATTAACTTGCACCAATTTAACTAAATATCTTGTATGTACATGACAAAATATTTAAACTCAATGGTAGCCTTGTGCGAGAAAAGTATTGGCTACGAAGACACCGTAAGTTCGCTGTTTAAGGGAATGGAAGAAGAGAAAGAGTCTCTCAACTCTGAACAATTGCCAAAGGCAATGTTTGATGCAGCAAAATCAGGAAACATTATAATTTTAGAGTTTCTTTTCAAGTACCATCCAGATTTGCTATTTGCAATAGATGCCACAGAGCAAAGAAGCTTACTTCATATTGCTATTCTATATCGACAAGAAACTGTATATAGACTAATATTAAGCAAGGGTGCTTCCAAGAGTTTTATGACCCAATTGGTTGATTTTGAGGGTAACAATGTTCTTCACTTAGCTGGAATGTCAGCAACCAAAGAAAGATTCGCAACAAACCATGTTCTAATGCGTAGTGAGGAGACATTCGCAACAAACCATGTTCTAATGCGTAGTGAGGAGACATTCGCAACAAACCATGTTCTAATGCGTAGTGAGGAGACATGGTTTCAGGTATATATATATATCTACTCGATTAGCATTATTTACTGTATATGTTGTTACGAAATTAAGTTTTCAATTTTGATGAAACAGAAAGTGGAGAAAATAGTTCCGGCTTCAATGAAAAGAATGAGAAATAGAGAAGGTTTGACTCCTAAAGAATTATTCTATGAGTCACACAAAGAGTTGCACAAAGAATCAGTATCTGAAGTGAAAGATACGGCAAACACTTTAGTAGTGGTAGCAACTCTTGTCATCACTCTAGGGATCACCGCAGTTTTGGCCCTTCCCATCAAGGATATTGAGAGTAAAGATACTCCTATTTTTGAGAAGAAGACATGGTATACAATATTTTTTTTATCAATTGCATCTGGAACAAGCTTATGTGCTGCATCTATGTTCTGCTATTCTTCAGTTATTCTTCCTTCAAGTTGGGAGCCGAAACAAGAGTCTGTCATCTCGAAACAAGCAAAGTTGATGATTGGGGATGTGACACTAATTGCCTCTGTTGGAGTCATGATTTTGGCAGTTGCTTCCGGTTCCATATTGATTTTTGACTTCATCTCCAATTGGATCCTTTATTTCATTGTTGGACTTAATATTACCGTAGTGCTTTTGCATTTTGCAGTTGACTTTGAACGATGGAATACCGGTAAGCGCACACTGCTATCCTTTTTCCATGTACATCCAGAGAAGCGAGCACTGCTATCCTTTTTCCATGTACATCCAGAGAAGCGAGCAGGATTTGTATGGCCTATCTAGCCTGTCACTCATTTCCAAAGGAAGAAAACATTCTGTTAGTTGGAATAAACTAAAATATAATAAGCTTGTGCTCAAGTATTCTGGCTGTTTAGTTTGCAGGAACATTCGAGTATGATGTCGCTGTGTCATTCGTTATCTTATTATGTACACATTTACGTCTTTCCTCAATTCAACTGCTTCTGCTTGCAATATGAAAAAACATTTCACAGAAAATAAAGCTTTGATACAATATTTTTTTCTATTTTAAGTATCTTAATTAATACACAGTCCCAGTGTTTGGAGTGGTATTAGTGGGTTATATAAGTGACAGTTAATTCAAAAAAAGTCTAGACATTCTTAGATGTAACAACCCAACATTTATATACTCTTTACTTCATTCTAGGTTTTCTAGCTGAGTTAGTAGGACTTGTATTTTCTCACACTCTCTCTCAAGCGTAATTGGATTTTTTTTTCTTCTATTGGCCCAATTCTGATTTTTTTTCTTCTCATATATTTTTTTTTTGTTTTTTAGTTACGGAAATGATTTGACAATTGACATCTATCTCTTAAAAACGGGGGGTTCCTTAACGTGTTCATAATCGAGTTATCTTTCACTAATCACTGCATTTCCAAGCAAAAGTTAGTGGCTACATTACAGAAGACAAGTCCCCCTTCTTTATCTACCTCGACGTTCCACCTAAATCTCGATGACAGATAAGATATAGCCGCATACTATTGGCCATTTTCTTATCACAGACCTTTTACCTACCTATCATTCACTTATAAAAGCACTCTGCTCCACTACACTTTCCACAGATTGCCAAAACAGTTAACTTATCATTCCAAAAAGCAACAAAGAAACCTAGAATTTTCAACTACCAATAAGATGATGAAGCAAATCATCTTCCTCCCTTTCCTACTACAACTCTTTGCTCTCATAGTATCTACCCCACCAGCTCCAGCTCCAGCGAAACCATTAGTCCCCTTATTACCCCAATCTCCCACGTCAGATTCATCTTCTGGTCAAGACATCATCAAAATTCTAAGGAAGGCCAAATCATTCAACACACTAATCCGCTTGCTCAAAACCACCCAAATTATCGACCAAGTCAATGCACAACTTGTTACCACAAAATCTGGAGGCCTAACCATTCTTGCACCTGATGATGGTGCCTTCTCACAACTCAAAGCAGGTTACTTCAACTCTCTGGATGATCGCCAACAGAAAGAACTGATACGGTTCCACGTTCTTCCGGTTTATGTCTCCAGCTCCAACTTTGATTCTCTTAGCAATCCAGTGTTGACACTGGCCAGTGATAGCCCCACAGGGTATCAAATAAATGTGACGGCTTATGCGAACAATATGAATATTTCAACTGGGGTGGTGAATGCAACTCTCACAAGCGTTGTGTACTCCGATAAAACTCTTGTCATATATCACGTGGACAAGGTGCTTATTCCTTTGGATTTCTCGAAGCCTAAGGCTCCAGCTCCTGCTCCAACTCCAACGTTGGCCAAGGCACCTAAAGTTGATAAGGGAGACACAAACAAAGCCACTTCTGCTTCCAACGCCATCAATTTAATTAGCAGCCATGGAACAATGTTTGTGTCACTTGCTGTTGCTTTAGTCTCAGCAATCTCCAGTTGAGGAAAACCCTTTTGTAGGCTATTCCCAAATTTTAGGAACAAGTTTTTACGTTACTCCTTTTGTGGAATGCTATTCATCATGCTCTTTTTCTGGTTGTCCTGGGAAGAGGGCTATGTGAACCTTTTCCTTATTTTCTTGTTTAATTACTTTTATGTGTAATATAAACTTAATTATTCTGTTGTAACGAAAAAGGAAGGCTTTTGAAGATGACTCTACCTCATTTTATTTTTCGTCTTCATCATTCTCATTTTGTTGTTGCATAATAATATAAATAAATATATTATTATTAAGTAATTATATTATTATATTAATATATAATTATTCTGTTGTAACGAAAAAGGAAGGCTTTTGAAAATGAATCTGCCTCGTTTTATGTTTCGTCTCCATCATTCTCATTTAATCTGTCATTTTGTTGTTCAATAATAATATAAATAAATACAATATATATATATATATATATATAAAATTATGGGACAGGGCAAGTTAGTTATCATAGTATCCATATAAACGGATATTTACCCATCCCACATGCGGATGTTTTTGCGGTTTCTCCTAGGATGCAAATTCATTTTGTCATCTTTATTCGTGTTTAACATATAAGGATTAATCAAGTTTAGTCTATCTTATGATATTATATATATAGAGAGATTTGTTTACTCCAAGAGTAAGTCTATATAAACTTATTTTATTCAAAAATTCGTATTTTACATGAAATTTGAATGATTTAATCTTGAATTTAAAATTCTTAATGTATAGATCAAATCTGTAAATTTTTAAAAAATTTGAAAATCCTTTGATATTTCGTTTCATTAATTCAAATTGACGGATTATCATAAATGGTTTTCAAATTTTTTAAAAATCATTTTATACATTGATTTGAATTAATAAAACGAAGAATGAAATGATCTTCATATTTTTTAAAAATTTATAAACTTGATATATGCATTAAAAAATTTAAATTCAACGATGGAATCATCAAAATTTGATGTAAAACATGAGTTTTTGAACTGAGTAAGTCTAAGTAAAGTTTATGATAAACTTATTCTTAGAATAGATTGATCACTCCTTATATATATATTTAATTAGTAATGTTAAGAATGCATGAGAGAGTCACTCCGGTCTCCAAATTCTATATTTTAATTTATAATATGAGTGAATATTTATTATATTAAAAAACTGATAACATTTAATGATTTTTAATAATTATAATTTTAAATAAAATTTATTAATATTTTTTTAACTAATATTTAGAGTGTATTGTTCTTTTAAGGTTAAACAATCAATTTGGCCTCGAATGTGCTTGAAAATTTCAATATCAATACCTAAACAAGAAGAATATAAAAAGAAATTGAAAATCCTTTGATCATTTACATTAGCTAGTCTTTGAATGGATAATTATTAATAATGTTGTTAAGAACGTTATGTCACATATTAATGGTCAAATATTGTCTTAATTAATTGTCATGCCATATGATGTTCACGTCACTGGGAATTAAAATGAAATCGATAAGGACAAATAAAAATTCTCTTTGTTTGTAAGTTAAATCGTTACTTTAGGATGTTTTCACTTTGTTCCTTGAATGTGTGTAGGATGTTTCTCAACTCTTTTTCATCCTTCTTTTGTCTCCTCTCTCTTTCTCTTTCTTAAACTTCTCTTTTTCTCTCGACTCTCTTCTACCTATTCTCTTGTATCCTCCTATTTTCTCTTTTATTCATAGTTTTGAAATTTGGATTGAATCATTCTATCGTTTCTAACTGAGAACTAGCCTGATGACCAGTCATATATTCAATAAGAACGAGACATGTTAAAATTGACGTGAACCAGTTAAGAATCAGTCAAGTCGTAGAAAAAAAAGGGTCAAAAATTGGTGCAGAAAACCGATTTGAATCATTATTGTTCAATTTTTTAAATAATATTTTTATGATAAATGAAAACTGGATTAAAAATTTGAATAAATTGTTTTATCAATCATTTTAATAATTTTTTATAAAAATATAATTATTTATTTATATAAATTTACAATTTTATACCATATTATAATTTGGCATTTTCTACTTTAGATATAAGTTTATTATCGTTAATGTTAATAGATATTGTTACATTTTATTATAATTTAAATTTAAATATTATATTAAAATTTAAGTGTACTTTGAACGTTAAAGAACTTATAATTAAAATGATGTTTATTATTTGTGTTTCCTTGATATATAAACAAGTTTTTGTGTATCTCTTGTTGTATGTAAGAAGATTTGATCTTTGGGTCCAGACTCCAGATTGTGCGTTGTAAATACCATTGTGGGAAAGTTGATGTGGACTCATCTGACTCCTACTTTTGGAAAGGTATCTATATCGATCAGTCCCAGCCTCCCAGGGCCAAGTGCAAAACATGCTGGATTGGAATATTGGCGATGGGAAAGTGGTGTATCTTGATGGGGGTGGATGGTGGAATATTGTGTTGCGCAGATCTACCAACCATCAAGCTCGAAAGTTTCAAGTAAAGACTGTGTCCTAATCGCTGAGATCGATGTTTATCCCTCCCTTACAAGAGAAAAAAAGAATGAAATTTTTGTAGTAGTGCTATTATGAATGACATGAGAGAGTAAGACTCACTCGTTCACTCCAAAGTCCAAACTGTATATTTATAATATAAAAAATATTTATCATATTATAAATATAATAATATTTAATTCTTTATCTAATTCTTTGAATGCATTGTGTAGCGATACTTTTCTTTTATATGTCACTTTAAGTGCTTGTCTTGTACGGTTCTTCCTTTTTTCTTTACTTGCGTGTTTTGCTCTAAATGGAAGAAGAAATCACTATATAAATAATCACAACCAGTGTTTCTGTTTCCTTTTCATAACAAAAACAATATCATCACAACCAGCAATCGAGGAATTTTCCGCCATAACAACCAGAGCTATGTCGGACTCAGATGCAATGACCTTGCCAGCTGCAGGTTTAATATTAAATTATTAATGACATCATTAATATGAATGTGTACTTTAGTTTTGTATATTTCATGCCTATAGACAGATATGGGTTTGATTTTTGTTTTCTTTTTACAACATGCATCTTTGGAGTCTTTGGACATGCGTTTGGGGCTAAATTTAACATCACTTTTCACGTCTGTCTTGAAGCAGTTACTTATAGTTTTAGCATCTTTTATTGATTGGAGGTGTTTCATTTTTTTTTATGTTTTTATTGCATTTCCAACCACACATAACTATTAAACATATTTTCCCCAAAATGGAGAAACTTCTGCTTATCTTTTAAACTGAGTAATTTACTTTAAAAATTGGCATAAATAATTATAATATTGATAATAAAAAAATTAATAGCAAATAGTAGGTGTAATGAATCTAAATAAATATAGTAGGATCGGGAAATTTATAAGAACTACTTTTTTCAACAACCATGATATATATATATATATGCTTAAAGAGTTCTTATTATGTATTTAAAAATACATACAGCGATTTTAAATAATGTACATTAATTACTAAGTATTAAATGATTTTAAATTAATATAAGGTTTTGTAAATATGATTTATGAGGCAACATCTTTCAATTTAATGGTTGATTTTGAGATTAAATTATATAATAAAAATATTAAAAATTAATATTTGGTTATAAAGTTATAGCAGTGCAATTTAATTCATCTTTGTTATGATAAAATTTCATGTGTATTTTTGTACACCACACATGGGAGTGTGAGCGCAAAGATGATAGGTAGCATTGTAGCAATATACTCATAGTCACACTTAGAAGTTAGAAGTATTTGCATCGTGGTTTAGTTTGATTTTTGATAGAAAAGTTATTCGAACTAAATATATAATTAATTAACATGCAGTTCGATTATTTATGCACGTAACCTAAAAATAAACGGTGGACCTCAATTATAAAGTATAAAACATTATAAATTAGTTTAATACTTATTACTAATTGAGCAATAAAAATTATGTATTACAAACCTCATGCAGCACTAGACATATGTGAAGTATCTGATAATGATCTGATAGTCAACTGAAAAGCTCAACAAAGTATTTGGTAGAATAAACTTTAATATATTTTAATATCATCTTAAAAAAATGAATTGAAATTTTAATTCAATTTTATAATTTTATTTCAAACCTCTTAAAAGAATACATTTTAAATCACCTGATACTACTATTAAAAGTTTAAATTAATATAATATGATAATTATTAATTTAAAATTAATATAAGTACAATCTGTTGTACGATTTGAGAACCAAAATCAAAATCGATTTTTTTTTAATTTTTGAATTATATTAAAATTCAATTTCACTATTAAAAATAAATGAGGTAGGACTTAGTAAACAAAACAAAAGGTTAACAGAAAAACTATGTACGTAAGGGAAAAATCACAATAACTTACATCACAATTAAATTTCAATAGTGGTATGAACAAAAAAATCACTTTGCAATTATTTTTTTGGCTGTTTCTTTATTTATTTTCCAACTTTTTTTATTATTATTGGTTTCTGTTTTTGCCCCGCCTTGCACCACTTATGTTTAAATTCCGATCTACAGAGTCTAGTAGGCTGGGTATTGTAGTGGCTGGAGCAGACCGTCTACAACCACTGACTCTGAAACCGGGAAGCTCTTCTTTGGATCTAGACAGTAAGTTTTTTAAATGTTTATTTTCTATTCTTATATCTCAAAATTAATTCTTTTTTAGTCACAACCATTTGAACAAGTTAATTACTAATAGTAATGGATATATAAGCTGCCTTATATATAAATTAATTGAAATTCATATAAATTAATTACAAGTTTAAAAGATATATAAATTAGGAGGTAAAAAATTGATACCCTCAAAAATTGATATATAAATGTGAATGTCACATTTATGATCCATTGAATGATCGATACATAGGTGACACTAACTTCACCCTAAACTTCAGCTAATAGTTATAATTAACGGAATAACTAATAACAATCCTTTTAGTTAAATAATTACAAAATCAATTACTAAAACAACAGCCTATAATATAGAAAAAGAAATTTTAATTGAATTCATTTTTATAAAGTTAGATCATAAGCTAGTTGATAAATATAAAATGATATAATTATTTATTTGATAAAAACTATATATATGTACACATATATATATATTATTTAATATTTAAATTTATTTCTTAAAAATCATAATTTTATATTATAAAATAATGGTGAAATTTTGATGATTTTGCTTAACCCTTCTCAAATTTGCA